GATTTATTAAAGGTTTACACACCGATGTATATTTCAGAAGATAAACTTTGGAGTCCTTTAAAAGTGAATTTCTAAGAGTATGAGGACAGGCCTTCAAAAGGCACGCAGGCTGCATAATTAGTCACTAGCACAGAATTGGTTCAGTATTTTTATTTTTCTGTAACTAAGCAATGAACTAAGAAACTGAAATAATGTTTTAAGTTAAACTGTACAATTGGTGTTACAGAGATTATAGAACACATCAATCACATCATGTATATAACATATAATATACCTATATTTATTATATACTACATAAATTCATATTAATATTTATTAAAAATGTCAAATGTAGGCAAAACCAACCTCTAAGAAATGCAATGATAAAACAAGTAAAATCAATTTCATCATCCCAGCTTAAAATGCAAAGAGCTTTCCAAAAATTTAAAGTTATGTATTTTATGAAATGTATAGTCCTTAGTTATTCATGAATGCCACTCACCAAAATTTATTTGTGACGCTGGAGGGGTGGCTCAGTGGTTAAGAGCACTGACTGTTCTTCCAGAGGACCTGGGTTTAATTTCCAGCCCCCACTTGGAGGCTCATGACCACCCGTAATTCCAATTCCAGGGACCTGATGCCTCGTGGTGCACTCTGTGGTGCACATGTATCCATAGCACATAACACTCATAACACATAAATAAATACAATTGATTTGCAATCTGTGTTAGATATTGTTCTATAACTGTGATAAATCCCTGACATAGTCATTGTCATTTTGGAGTTCCAGTCCCTTTACTGATGCAGCATAGGGTGGAGAAAACTGCACCTCACGCATGGAAAGGAGAGAGGAAGTGAAAGTCTTGGGTCCCACAATCCCCTTCAGCAGCAAGCCTTCAATCACCTGAATCAGTCCTTTGCCCAGGGCCACCTCTTCAAGACTGCACAGCATCCCAGAGGCACCAATCTGAGGATCAGGCACACGGCATTTCAGATCCACAGTAAATGACCCTAAAATCTACTTGTCACTTAAGGGCATATACAGAGTAGCACATCTCCTTATTTATTTGTTAGTTTGTTTTTGAGTTGCCTAACAAGCTATTCCTAGCTCAAGAGAGAGACAATGTTCTGCCTTCTTTTTGGCTAATGCCATGCTCTTAACACTTGTGCTGAAAGGTTGTCTATGGTGTGCCTGATGAAGAGTGTAAGGATTTCTGGAAGTTTCTGTTAGGAGTTGATTATATAGTTCTCTTAGCCATGAGTCCATCAACAACATAGGCCTAATAAGGTGTCTTTAAAGAGAAACACAATAAAAACAAGGTTGTATTTTGAGTGGTTGAAAAAAATTATGGGACCAGGCTTTGAGAAATCTAACCTTCAGGGCACTGGTTCAATATAACATTTACTAATCCAGCACCTGTGGTGACTTTAGGACGTATGTATCACAACTCCCAGGAAATGAAAATCAGCCCAAAAGACACACTTCGCTGTCGTTAATTTCTTTATTATATTTTATTGCTTGTCTTCTTTCAAGAATGTAATAAAAGAAACTAATATTAATTTCCAATAGAAGATATAACTATGTCTTGTTTCTTCAGTATTGGTTACATCAACTTTTCTAAATCTGGAAACTTCACTAGATGACAACATAATGAGATGCCGTAGCTCGTGGATCTCCTGGGTCCTCCAGGTGCCTTGGTTTGGGATAGAGTTTATTAGAAGGCCTTGTGGTGATAACTACTGGCTAACGGACATTTCAAGGCTCCTGTGGAATAGTCCAGTGCTGTTAGCATCTAACCTGAGATTCAGGTAATATGAACAAGCAGATGGCTGTATATGTCCTGTAGGCTATTTAACAGCAGATCTTTGGCTGTTGCTATTCTATACTTTATTTTTTAGAAGCCTTAAAATGATCCTAGTGGAGGAGGAATCTATTTCTTTGTTCAAAAGCGTCCCCTGCTTCCAACTGACCTGAGCATTGATACCAGCACCAAGCTGTTCTCATTAAGGTTCCAATCTTATCATTCTCTCTGGGGGCACAGGAGAAAGCACACACTTTGGAGTCAGGCCTGGGATCAATTGCCAGCTCTGCCTTCTCAAAACCATAAAACCACTGGTTCAATGCTTACTGCTCGAGTCCCTTATGCGCTTAGCTGCGTGGGCGATGGCCACACTGGAGACGGTGCCTGTGATGTCTTAGCTGTGTGGGCAGATGGTCACAGTGGAGAGGGAACCTGCGAAGGTTCTGGCACAGCTGGGGCAGAGCACTCTGCCCCAGGGGTTACAAACTCCAGGGGTGGACTGAGCCTCATTCTTGTGATAGTTGCTTACTATCTGCTTTTCATCAAGGACTAACGATTTGCTATATTTAGAGACAAAGTCTTGCTGTGTAGCTCATGCTATCCTCAAATTCATGATCTTCCTGCCTTGGCCTCCTAAGTATGAAGATTAGAGGGGAATGCCACCATAGCCACTTGGGTACAAGTTTTTTTTTAGATTGAGAATTCTGAAGATCACATGTCAGTGCCAAAAAAAAAAAACCCAAAAACAAAACAAAAAAACCCCACACAAACCAAACCTGATAAACAAAACAACTTTCTACTTTGACTGAGAGAATTTTAAGTGGCCTCTGGGCAGACAGAAGCCTGTTTCCAAAGGCACACAAGTGTTTTAGGTAGAGCTTTGACATCAGGCCTTGACTAGACGGTGGATTGTGAACTGAACAGTCACCTGCTACCCCCAGATAGGATGAATGGAGCCCATGTCAAAAGTCAAAAAGCTGTGCTTTTGTCACACAGCTGAACCGAGTCCAAGCTCATAGAAACTCAGGAACTCTATCTAGACCGACTGTGTTCAGGGGACCCAACAGGCCCCCCCATATGTGGGAGACAGTTGTGAAGCTTGGACTATCAGAAGAACCCCTGGCAGTAGGACCATGATATAATCCTGGTACATGAGCTAGCTTGTTGGAGCCCATTCCCTATGGTGGGATGCCAAGCTCAGTCCTAATGCATGGGAGAGGGGCTGGCCCTGCCCCACCCTAGTGTGCCCGGCTGTGTGGACTCCTCATGGAAGCCCTGACCTGTGGACTGGGGATGGGCTGGGGGGAGGCAAGGGGCGGGGAGGGAGAACTGTGGTTGCAATGTAAAATGAAATTTAAAATAATAAATTATAAAAAAAGAACAGTTAAAAAAAGGAAGTTAGAAATATTTTGGATTTCATCAAAAAGTTTTAAGTCCACACTGAGAGATGACATGAAGAAATAAGAGGGCTTCAATATCCTGAGAAAGGAAAGGTGGTTGTTTTGTTTGTTTGTTTTTGTTGTTGTTTTGATTTGTTTATTACTGTAGCCCAAGTACCCAGGAGGGTGTTGTGTATTTGGAGAGTATCATTAGAATATGAGATGCTGGCCAGCATGTTATATATATGTTCTGGTATGGTGTTGACTGTACAATGATTAGAATAAGCTCTTCACCAATAAGCACACATTTGTGCTCTAGCTGGTTACTGTTGTGCCAGAATCTCATCCTATATAGGTCTACTTTACGAGGCAATTTGAAACCTGTTATTCTTTCTCTTAAACATTATCCATGTATTTATTTCTCCCGGCAACAAGGGTGTGTGGATGAGGAGGGGGCTGAAATGAGATACTTTTAGGGGGAGTTAAACTTTCGGCACAAAATTGGTTTGAATATGTTGAATGGATTGAAAAGGAAAGAAATTGAAGGTTGGAAAAAGTTGGAATTCAATGAGACACAGGTGCATTTGACAGATTTTTTATATGCCAGATTTCCCCTGTACAAGTTATTTCTGTATGAGGAAAGAGTATCTACATTCCTCCTGCTCTGTAACAGGAATGGGGGCTCAGCAAAGCTAGTGACCATTGCATCCACTTGGAGGTGGTGCTAGGTCCGGAACCCAGACTTCTGAATACTCAGAAGCAAACAGTCTCAGACACAGAGAGTGAGCCTGCCGTGTTTTGAGAATTAAAATAGGGCAGTTTAGCTAGAATTAAGAGGTTGTAAAGAAAAAGTCTTAGGAAATCTGGCCAGAGAAATAAATGAGAAATGGATACTGTGGTGCACACCTGTGACCCCAGCACTTAGGACGTAGAGGCAGGAAGATCAAGGAGTTGAAGGCCACCTGAGGTACATGAGGTCCAGTCTAAATAAACCAAGAGATAGATTAGAGTACCTTAACTAGTGCAAAGACAGCATCTGGATTTATCTGTGTGGGTGATGTCAGAATAGCTTTTAAGTAATAAAGTCCTTCTTAGAAAGAAATCTTAGGAAAGGTGGATAAGCACAGTAGACCTGAAGAGGTGGTCTTCATCTTAGGAGAGGTGGATATGCACAGTAGACCTGAAGAGGTGGTCCTCTGTGCCCCGCTCTTGAGCAGAATGACGAGGGACTGGACAGCCTCGGGCTGAGATGCAGCACTGGGCACTTTCAAGGGCTGTAAGCGGACGTCTGCAGACCCTACCCTGTCAGAGGAGAAGACCGGCGTCGTTTTCCTCTTCCCGTTGTCTTCTCTTTCACAAGCAGATGAAAGAAAGAGGTCCATTTAAAGAGCTGCCCTTTGTTCTGATTAGAAGCTACTGAAAGTGCGCAGAAATTCATGGAAAGTTTAGCCTTCAAGGGCAGGAGGTCTTTGATGCCCCACACTAGTGAGGAAACAGAATCTTTTCCTTTTAGTACATTTAGTGGGAAGAAGTTCACGGACTAAATTTGGACTTTTAAACTCTTTCCGGGCTAGTGGAGGCAAGTTTTAAACAAAAGGCTTTCCTTGTACTTTATTAAAAACCAAGAGAGTGAATCTTGAATAGCATGCATGCCACCCACGGCAGGCATCCTATCGTGTGTCATTTCGGCTGATGGATGACAGCGTTTGGCCAGCTGCACTTGCTGAGGACCCTCTCCTGTGCACTTCTGTGACTGGTGATGCAAACGCACCGCCCTTTTCTGGGAACACAGAAAGCCTGAGTCAGGCCGCAGCGGCTATTAAAGCTCTGGGTCGGGCAGGGACAGGCACTTCCACGATGAGGCTTCCTGGATGGTACTGGCTGAGCTGCGCGGTCCTGGCTGTCTGCGGAGCAGGGCGAGCGTACAACCTGACCCAGGGGCTGGAGGATGCGAGCGCCCAGGCCGCCGCCTGCCCCGCTAGGCTGGAGGGCAGCGGGAAGTGCGAGGGCAGCCAGTGCCCCTTTCAGCTCACTCTGCCGGCACTGACCCTCCAGCTCCCGCCGCAGCTCGGCAGCATGGAGGAGGTGCTCAAGGAAGTGCGGACCCTCAAGGAAGCCGTGGACAGTTTGAAGAAGTCCTGCCAGGACTGCAAGTTGCAGGCTGACGGCCATGGAGACCCGGGCGGGAACGCAGCAGAGACGGCCAGGGACAGCCGGGTCCAGGAACTGGAGAGTCAGGTGAATAAGCTTTCCTCTGAGCTCAAGAATGCAAAGGACCAGATCCAGGGGCTGCACGGGCGCCTGGAGACGCTACATCTTGTAAATATGAACAACATCGAGAACTACGTTGACGACAAAGTGGCAAATCTAACGTTTGTGGTCAACAGTTTGGACGGCAAATGTTCCAAGTGTCCCAACCAAGAATACACCCAGTCACAGCCGGGTAGGTGTAATGAGCTTCTTACCATTTGTTCCTGGAAGCTGTATAGCGAGATAGTGGCCATAAACATTAACCCGAGGGAGTAAGTTAATAAGTATTTCATCTGTTGGTTACAGCAGGAAAAACAAGTATTTTTCTCAAATGAGAAGTGATAAAGGATCTAATTACAAAAATCCTATCCGCTGTATCTGTTAGAAACACGGGCAGTCAGTCTCTAGAGCTTCCATGCTAGCTAACCCACCCACAGGCAGAAGCAGATTCCTCCGGGACTAGTGTGCGTAGCCCCGCTCAGTGTCTTATGATAGATATGGCAAAGTTCCCAGCTGTTCTTAGGTCTCGGAAATCAGGTCTTGGGTGGCTTCTGGCCACTTCTCACAGCAGCAGGTTGTTTTTGAAAGCGTTTCAAAGACTATCTGCTTGATTCTCAAATATCTAGTGAGAATGGGAGACTATATATATATATATATATATATATATATATATATATATATAGAATAAAAGCAGTTCTGTGGGTGCAAAACTTTTTGGTTTGAGGCTTAATAGCACATTCGTCCTCCCCATCCCAATTACTTAACGTTAACACTGATACTGTTTTTAAAGACCACAGACTAGCTGCCTACTGAGCCCGTGGCATTGTTTTCTGTGATTCCTGAATTCCCAGGACCCTTGCTGATGGTGTTGCCACACCCTAGAAGGCCACCTCAATGTTAGGATCTGTGCTTATCCTGACCGTGAGGTTAATGGGACATAGTAGCGATCATTTCATTTGGAATCTCGTGGAGGTGGTAGGTCATGGTGTCAAGGACCACTGTCACCAGTGACCCTGGCAGCCTGGATGGAATTCACCCTGCACATTACCAGGTAGACAATGATGTTTTAAGTGACATCACAGGGTTTATATTAGATATGGCACTGCACAGTGACTTGTAATGATACAAAAAAGATTCTATTATTTACTTTTCTCCTAAAAGTTTTGGGACATGAAATATTAGGAATTCTAAATACATATAAATAGATTTCTGTGCCTTACAAGAATCTTAAATAACTTATTTTACCTGACTCAAATTTTTATAAAAATGATCTGGGAACAAATAGTTGGTATCTGATCTCTACAAAACCCTGCTTCTTCTAGAAAACAAACTGACTATACCTTTCTGAATGATAAATTCAGAATAATATTGGTATGTTATTGGGACACCATTTTTTTAAAAACTCGAACGTCTTTATAGTTGCTAGGTTAAAAGAGAGTGCATTTCTGAGCTGATGCTTCCTTTGGAACATATCCCATAACCTTTGCTGATGGTGTCTAGAGTGTGGTCCTAGGAGACTTGGCTTCGTCTCAGTTTAGGACAGAGAAAATGAATGGTTGTGAGAACAAACTCTCTGCCAGGCAGACTTGACTTTATGTCCTACCTCTTAGCACTTGTTCCAAGTGGGAAGAATCACCAGCCTTCTTAGAGAGGAGCTGAATTTATAAGCAAGCTGGCAGTGACACCGACCTCACAGTGTTGGTGCAGGTATTCAGTGCAAAACTGTTAGTGTTCGGTAGGGTTTCTGGAGGTAGCTGGTCCTCGTGAAACCTTGCTTATACTTATTCCATTCTTGTTTGTTGTTGGTGTTGTCACCATTATTGCCAACCATAACATCCCTGCGTGCGTAATAACACTGGTTGGTTCTGAAGCCTTAAAACACATCTGTTAACCAGGTCCAGGTGAGTGTATGAGAGCCCGGTTCCATGATCTCCATTAACTAATTTATCAAGTTGCTTTTGAGTCTAAGGATTCTTCAGATGCATAGCTTTTGTTAACAAGACCCCATGCTTTTTCTTTCCTCCCTCTTTCAGTTCAACACCTAATATACAAAGATTGTTCTGACTACTATGCAATAGGAAAAAGGAGCAGTGGGACCTACAGAGTTACCCCCGACCCCAGGAACAGTAGCTTCGAGGTGTACTGTGACATGGAGACCATGGGTGGAGCCTGGACGGTGCTGCAGACTCGCCTCGATGGAAGCACCAACTTCACCAGAGACTGGAAGGACTACAAAGCAGGCTTTGGAAACCTTGAACGAGAATTTTGGCTGGGTAATGACAAAATCCATCTGCTGTCCAAGAGTAAGGAGATGATTTTGAGAGTAGATCTTGAAGACTTTAAAGGTGTCTCTCTGTATGCCTTGTATGATCAGTTTTACGTGGCTAATGAATTTCTCAAGTATCGATTGCATATCGGTAACTATAATGGCACAGCAGGAGATGCCTTACGTTTCAGTAAACATTACAACCATGATTTGAAGTTTTTCACCACCCCTGACAGAGACAATGACCGGTACCCTTCTGGGAACTGCGGGCTCTACTACAGCTCAGGCTGGTGGTTTGATGCATGTCTCTCTGCAAACTTAAATGGCAAATATTATCACCAGAAATACAAAGGTATCCGCAATGGGATTTTCTGGGGCACCTGGCCAGGGATAACCCAGACACAGCCTGGTGGCTACAAGTCCCCCTTTAAAAAGGCCAAGATGATGATTAGACCCAAGAATTTTAAGCCATAAATCGTTAGTGTTCATCTCTGCTGGTACTCATTATCTAAAAGGCAATGAATTCCTTCTGCCCTTTACCATATACTCCTTTGCTATGGATGAAACATTTCCTTTTAAACTTCACAGATTTTGAAACAAAGTTAAAAATATCTAAAGAGACTACTTTGTTGCTGGTATACAAAGAATGCTTGTAAGCTCTGGAGTTATTGACAATTATACATTATTTCTGCAAATGCTTTAATTTTCATAGCCGAAAAAGTTCCCTACTATATTTATTACTTTTTATAATTAAAAAAACTAAATTATTCAGCATGCTAAATTCTATATAAACACTTTTATTTTTACTAGGGCTAAACTTGCATATTTGAGAATACATCAGTCTTTTCAGGTCAAAGTTACTGTGTATCTGTATGTAGCCAAGAATTGTAGTATTTGTTTTGCACCAAGAGACCTTTTAAGTTCTTAAAAAAGACGCAGGGAGATAATATGTGTAGCTAAACTTATTCGTGCAATATTCATGAAATGTATAATATGTCATTAAAATATCTTAAAATGAAGTAGCATAATGTTTCTTCCCCATCCAAGCTGGAGAATGACAATAACCCTGAAGACTTTGGTTTAGTAGTAATGCATTCACTGTTTATATATAGCCTATTAGAACCTCATGCAAAACCTGCTTTGCAGTCAGCCTCTGCTCTGCTCCAGATGCACAATAGTTTTCAATGTAAGGTGCTAGAACTACTGTAAGACTTTCTTGGGGAAAGGCACAATAGGGAAAAAAAGCATTTATTTAAACTTTGAAAGCCAATCCTACACCCAAAGCAATACTATTGTTGAGGGATCAACTTCCTAGGAGGCTGACTTTTCTAGAATAAATTTACTTAAGATGAATTTTGAAATAGTAGTTCAAAATTTATACATTGTAATACCAAATTAATTGGATTGCTTATTTCAGTCTCAGAAATTCAAGGAATATAATATTCCAAACATAAGTTCCTAGATCTTTTAGAATTTCTTAATTGTAGAATGCCAAGGATCATATTAAAAGGCTTTTAGGAGCAGTTTCATTTTATCATTGTGAAAAGGGACCATTTCAGAGAGAAACAAGGCTTGACAGGAATTAAGTGACCAAACGTAAAATATAGATTTCAAAGGCTGTTTACCTACTTGGTACAATATTGAATGTAAGTGGCGTAATTGATTTTATTTTTTCCATTTAAAAAAGCCAAGAAGATTTTGATATTATACAATATATGTGTTTCAAATCCTGTCTACTATATGTAACTGTATAAGTCTAAAGACATTTAAGTCATAAAAATGGACTGATGATAGCCAAGAAAAGTATACATTCATATTTAGTGTGTCTTTTTCAGGAGAGTTTGGTGAATAACAGTAAATACATGTAAATTATCTTTGCACATTCAATGGATCATTTCCTACTATACTCTTATGGTGGTTTTCTAATGAACTCTTTAACACAGAAATTTATTTTTAAAATCATTTTCTGTCACTCATTTAAAAATATATTGTAGACTTCGATAATCTTTAACCTGTTTATTGAAATAGTCCTTTGTTTTTACTGTTCACCAATAAATGTCAATGTTCATAAATGTACAATATTTGCAAATGTATAATTTGAGTTTTGGTTTCATTTGGGTGACTAATACTGATTTTAATTACTACTTTATTGCTGAACATTATTATCCTTTAAAAATGCTGAGTGAAACTAATTTCTTTTTTTAATTTAAATTAAAAACAATCTTATTTTACATACCAGTCCCAGTTCCTTCTCCCTCCCTTCCTCCCATGCCCCCCACCATCTCCCCATCCCACCCCCATTCACTCCTCAGGGAGGGTGAGGCCTCCCATGGGGATCATCAAAGTCTGTCACATCATTGGGGGCAGGGCCTAGGCCCTCCTCCCCTCTCCCCCCCCCCATCTAGGCTGAGAGAGTATCCTTCCATTCTTGCACTAGGGATAAATACTGGTTCCACTGCCAGAGACCCCATAGACTGCCCAGGCCCCCAAGTGACACCCACTTTCAGGGGGCCTGGTTCAGATACATGCCAGCTCCCCAGCTGTCAAACTGGGGTTCTTGCGCTCCCACTTGCTCAGGTCAGCTGTTTCTGTGGGTTTCTCCAGCATGGTCTTGACCCCTTTGTTCGTCACTCCTCCCTTTCTACAACTGGATTCCAGGAGTTTGGCTCAGTGTTTAGCTGTGGTTCTCTGCCTCTGCTTCCATCAGCTACTGGATGAAGGCTCTAGGATGGCATTTAAGGTAGTCATCAATCTCATTATAAGGAAAGGGCATTTAAGGTAGCCTCTCCACTATTGCTTAGATTCTTAGTTGGGGTCATCCTTGTGGATCCCTGGACATTTCCCTAGTGCCAGGTTTCTCTTTAAACCTGTCATGGCTCCCTTTATTCAGGTATCTCTTTCCATGTTCTCCTTCTCAATTCTTTCCCAGACTCAGTCTTCCTGATCCCTCATGTTCTCCTCTTTCCCTCCCTTTCCTCCTACCTCCACCCCCACCTGCTCCCAATTTGCTCAGGAGATCTTGTCTCTTTCCCCTTCTCTGGATGATGATGTAAATCTGTCTTAGGGTCCTTCTTGCTTCCTAGTGTCTGTAGGGTTGTGAACTGTAGGCTGGTTACCCTTTGCTCTATGTTTAATATCCACTTATGAGAGAGTACACACCATGTTTTTCTTTCTGTGACTGGGTTACCTCACTCAGGATGGTTTCTCTAGTTCCATCCATATGTCTGCAAATTTCAATATTCCATTGTTTTTTTCTGCTGAGTACTCTGTTGTGTAAATGTATCACATTTTGTTTGTCCATTCTTCAGTTGAGGGACACCTAGGTGGCTTCCAGGTTCTGGTTATTACACGTAATGCTGCTATGTCCTTGTTGTATGAATGTACAACCTCTGGGTATATGCCTAAGAGTGGAATTGCTGGATCTTGAGGTAGACTGATTCCTGAGGAAACTCCATACTCATTTCCAAAGTTGCTGTAAGAGTTTGCACCCCCACTAGCAGTGGAGGAGTGTTCCCTTTTGTCTACATCCTCTCCAGCATGAACCGTTATTGGTGTTTTTGATTTTAGCCATTCTAACAGGTGTACGATGATATCTTAGAGTTGTTTTGATTTTCATTCCCTGATGGCTAGGGATGTTGAGCAATTTCTTAAATGCCTTTCAGCCACTTTGGACTCCTCTATTGAGAATTCTCTACTTAGTTCTGTATCCCACTTTTTAATTGGATCCTACGGTGTTTTGGAGACTTGCTTCCTGAGTTCTTTGTAAATTTTGGAGAACAGTCCTCTGTCAAATGTGGGGTTGGTGAAGATCTTTTCCCATTCTGTGGGTTGCCATTTTGTCTTGTTGACTATGTCTTTTGCCTTACAGAAATTTCTCAGTTTTAGAAGGTCCCATTCATTAATTGTCGATGTGAAGCTAATTTCTTAGAAATTTGGCTGACTCATCTGTCACTAAATGAGAAAGCCATTTTGCTGAGCAGCAGTAATGCACCAAACACATTCATGTTCGATGAATAGAGCTTGTGTGTGCAAAGCAAAAGAAGCATCTGAACCACAACATTAGTTGCTCTTCATTGTCAGTGGCTTCCCCTTACCCCTCACAAAGTTTTAAAGGCAAAATGAATGGACGGAATGACGACAAACCCTTGTTTAAAAATTCTTTTCATTGATGTGTGATGGGGAAGGCCTGTGTATATGTCAATAAAGCACTGTTGGCCAATAGGGAAGTAAGATAGGTGGGACTAGGAGTCCAGGAGGACTCTGGGAAGGAGAAACACAGGGAGTCACCATGTAGCTGCCATAGGGGTAAGAAGTCCGGACCTTTTCTCCAGTAAGAGAAATACTTAGATTAACAATTACGGAGTAAATATTTATGTCAGAGCTAGCCAGTAAGAAACAAGCAAGGCCAACAGCTTCATAATTAAAACAGCATCTTTTGTGTTATTTGGGGACTTCAACATGGCAGAGTCCAGGCGACTGGTGGGGAAAAACCAAAGCAGCGGGCAAGGAAAAGGCTTCTCTCAACAGATGTGTAATTAAAGTTATGTTTCATTTCTCTTTAAAGCCTTGTAAGATAAAAATATTTAATCTTCATTTCTATCCTTTAACATGGAAACGTTGTTTCTAAGATTGTATATATATATATATGTATGTATATATAATTATCTGAAAAGTTGAGCTGTATTTACCTAATCTAGAGAATATCCCTGTGTATTTAAAAACACTGAGTATTATTTCTTTAAAAGGAAGCAAGGCAGCTAGAGGAACACCATTATCTATTTCCTTTTAGAGTGCTGTCGACACATCCTCAATACAGAATTGCCAGTTCTCCATTCTGACATTTAACTGTCTCTCCTTCTTTCTACCATTAATGTCACTGGTGGCTTTAGCACTCCTTTCCTTACAGACCATTACCAAGGCCTTCATTGCTGACTATGAAGAGCCAGAAATGAGAAAACAGGTGTACACGGAGAACCTAGAATACTCTACTTCCCAAACAAGACTGAATCTCTCTTATAGCTTGAGACCCCCTTCCTTCATGTTGGTTGAGCTGCTCTTGTTGGCCTGGAAGACACTGCTGCTTTCTTTGCTGAAGGGCTGGTTTCATTTCTCCAGGTTCCTTCATCCTACTCATCAGAACCCACAAATCTTTAACAAGGGCGCACTCTGATGTCAGGCATAAATCACATGGGTGGGGAAGTCTCTGCACATCCTCTCCAGTTTAGCAAGAATGCTAAGGAAGACATATATAGACAGATTTGGAGGTAGTTTGAGAAGGAAGAGTAAATTTTTTGCTTTCTTTTTTTATTTAATTATTTTTTATTTAGGTTAGAAACAATCTTGTTTCACATGTCAATCTCAGCTCTCTCTCCCTCCCCTCCTCCCCCACCCTCCCCACCAAGCCCCCCAGTCCCCCACTCGGTCTCCACTCTGATCCTCAGGGACAGTGAGGCCCTCCATGGAGGATCTCCAGTGACTGTCATTTCATCCAGGGCAGGGCCTAGGTCCTCCCCCAAGAGTCCCGGCTGAGAGAGCCTCCCATATTGTGGCATGGGCACTAAAGTCTATTTGTACGCCAGGAATAAATACTACTCAAGGCCCCATAGATTACCTAGGCCTCCTCACTGACATCCACATTCAGGGGGTCTGGGTCAGATCCATGCTTTCCACACAGCCATCAATCTGGAGTCCAAGAGCTCCCCCTTGTTCAGGTCAACTGTTTCTGTGGATTAAACCAGCCCAGTCTTAACTCCTTTGCCCATCAGTTCTCTCTTTCTGACACTGGATTCCAGGAGTTTAGTTCAGTGTTTGTCTGTGGGTATCTGCCTCTGCTTTCATCAGTCGCTGGATAAAGGGTCTGTTTCCTAGACTCTCTGGCAGTGGGATTGTATGCTGGAAGTTCATTCATTTATGGATTTTAGACATGAATCAGGTGAACAGTAAATTTTAGAAGTGATTTGAGTTATGGTCATTCCCCAAAAATTATCTATTCAAAGATGACTCTAGAAGAAATGGTTTGCTCTAATAGTTTACCTACCTAAGTAACATAAACCTATATTCAATAGCAGCTTATGTTAAGTTGAAAAGCCAGAAATGTTTTAAAACTCAAAGATTTATGGAGGTAAGAAGTCCGTGTGGAATTTGCCTTAATTCATTCAACAGATACTTAGACGTGTACCATTGACCAACATGTAAACCCTGCACTCCAAGTTTAACCAAGGGAAACTTTCATGACAGAAAGCAAGCAGCTGTGAGAGGGTTAGAGGAGGTGGTGCTAATTAGCACAGGGTGTGGAGGAGAGACCTCTCTGTGGTGATGACACCATTAACAGAAATGTAAAGAAAGAAGTAAGAAACCTGAGAACACAGCCGAGAGGAACAAGTTCCAAGCCAAGGGAGCTAGAAGCTTCAACATTTGCAGTCTGGAGAGCAGTTGGCACATTTGAGAGTCAGCAAAGGGACCCAGGAGAGGAAAGCAGAATCTAGCCTGCTGGCTCCAGAAAGACAGACAGGAGGGAGCTAAAAGGGCTGCAGGTGAACAGAGGGGAGGGCCAGTGACAGGTCACACAGGCCTTGTAAACAAGGGTGCCTCTCATTCTGAGTAGATAGGAAAGTGACGGCTTTGAACAGAGGAGGGACATCATCTGCTCCAGTTGGAAAAGACTGGCTTTTCCGGTGTGATAGTGCTTACACTATGCGGCAGAGAGACGGTGGAAACACAGATGTCTGTTTTGAGGTAGATCGGACAAGATTGGATGGCCAAAGTCAGTTGTGGATAGCAGTAAGTAAGTAAGTAAATAAGTAAGTAAGTAAGTAAGTAAGTAAATAAATAAATAGAGCTGTCCCCTCAAGCCTCAGAACTTCAGACTGAGTAACTTTGGAAGATGGAGCCGCCATTACCTGAAAGGAGCGTGTCATCTGCAGAGGGAATCTGATGAGTGTGTATGCTGTGGACAGAGTGAGGGTTGCTACCTGCAGATGGAAACAGCATGAGCTTCAAATACCTCCGGGTGGAGACTGGCATTTGGCATTAGTCTAGAGTTCAGGGAGAATACCCAGGGTTTAGAGATGCATTTG